CTGCTCGATACAATTTCCAGATTTTGAACATCCTAAATGGCAGCAGTCAGCTGCCGACTACAGCTAATGTTCAAGCCGGTTGTCACAGTTTTCATCTATGTCAAGACCGACTGATCATAGCTTTGTGTCATTCCTTTCATATCATATTAGTGAATCAGTTTTTACCAATGCAGAAAAGCAAAACTGCTTGACAAGCGGGTACTGCAGGGAGGCATGCAGCCCCTGGCCACAGCAGAGACCCAGATAGGCCAGCCATTGCAGAACTAGTAGATGCTTCGATAGATCTTCTGAACGGTCACCAAATAAATGTGTTGACTTGAGTTTGCACTTCGAATCTGCAGAGGGTATTAACCCTTTGAGTGACCAACCTCGTTCTGATACTGATTCCATAAGTTCAAGAAACATTGCTCTCTCGTGGCAGTGATGAGAGTCGTACAATTGAGGTAGGGCATTTAAATTGTTCATTTAGGCGTGGTGAATGAAATCCATTCAATTGATACCATAAAGTTAACTACGGCTCTGCTACGATATGATGCTTATCATAATGATAAAGAAGATAACAACGATACTAATAATCATGATAGTGATTATAGTGATGACGACGATGATTGCATTGATCATAATGGTGATGAACAAACTGATAAGGAGGATACAAATGTTCTTATCAGATAAGTGGACCCTTGACAATCTGAGATATCGAACATTGAAAGACAATTAGTTGATGTCCACATAGTTGCTCAGTCGGATGCAATAACTTCTTGAATCGCTGCTGAAGAGCGTTAGGGCAAATTTTCGTCAGGTTTGAGGAAAAATACGGGTCCACAACTGTCGCCTCGTTTGTTTGTAATGATTTCTCTTTTATCCGTTGACCTTCCCACGTCTAACCGCAAAGCAGTAGTGGCATTAGTGATTTTATTACTGACGCGTCCTTCTGGTCTCATCATGATACGGTCACAAAACGATCTGTGGCCATTTTATAGGTGACCGGTTTGCCAGACCCATCCTCAGCCACGACCTGATGGTACCAACCGTTGCCTGTATATAGCTTTTTATTCGTCACAGCTGATCTTGATTCCTAGAGGGATCGTTCCTCTGTCGAGAACCTGAAGCGGTCAGATGGCTCGCAGCCTGGTTTAATATGAAAGTACAGTCAGTTGCTAATCATATATGTTCATATAGTGTTCCGTCTGCCCTTGTGTGGCCAGTTTTCTGTAGCTTAAAGGAAAAAAAACAATACACTAGTTTTCAATGCGGCAGCAGGATAGCTGATTATTAGAAACAATGCAAAATAACAAGTACAATTAGTAACATATTCCTACCACAGCTTTAAGATTGGAAAGGGTCGTTTCGTAGTTAGTGACGACCAACTTTTCGGGAAGCTTTGCAGTAGCAACCAACGGCAATTTCAGGTAATCGCAGTCGACACTGAATCGCAGCGTCTATAAAAGCACTAAACGCAGTAGAAAGCCCGAGACAGCAAAAAATGAGAAAAAAACCTTACAAAATATTCGCCTGATTCTGACTCGGTTTGAAAGTTGTAAAAGTGAGGCGAAAAAGAGTGGGCGTTCAGATGAACGTCCTCAAAAGTGACTTCGCAGCCAACCTAAAAAAAAGCTGCAAAGAAAATTTTTTACTTTGCTCATAAGTTTTGCAAGCACTTTAAACAGTAGGTGGTGTACAGCTTAGGCAAATGTTTTTGACAATGCATCACAGTCTGAGTGTCAAAACAATTCGAACAGCTCAACGAGAAAAAAACACTAATCATGCTACACAACCTGTTCCAAGTTGTGTGCAGTACCTCGCGAATCTGCTTAAGTGACAAGTTACTGGCTTATCCACTAACCCCCTCTCCCGATTTTCGATCTATCACAAACAAATGCTTTTCGACTAAACACTGTTAGAACAGGTTACTCGGTCCTTAGAGGCGTGTAATGAAGTTGACCGAACTGTTGGCAGTTTGCCATCGGTAGGCTGTCAAAAACCTAGTTACAAGTATTGACAGAACAATCGTCATAACGTTCGATTTGACTTTAATGCGAACCTCACTGTGTGGAGATTTTCACGTGACTTATGACTCGTCTACTGTCTACCAGCAGCGGATAATTTATCGTTAGTTCGTTGGTGGAAGAAACAAACACATTAAAATGAGCATTGACAACACACTTGCATGACTGCTACGTTTCGACAAGAGGTGGGAACAAAAATTTGGGTATAAGGAACAGCTACTGATTGCTTCTGACTTCTGATGAAAGCACGTTTTAAAGATCTGAGCAAAGTCCAGAAAACATCAGTCTTCCAAACAGAACCCTGGCCATTTAAAACAACCCAGACAAGAAGATATTGGACATTTTTTCCTACCAGATTTAAACGGCGTAATAACAGCACCGCTTCCTCCCGTCTAGTCGGCCATTTAAGCAGGCCACGAAGCCATGGTACATGAGCCCCTACAGTATGGATGTAAAACCGCGTCAATGGGCAGAGCCGAACAGAATCGTATTCGGACACCACCCGATGTGCCATTACCCGTAGCCATATTCATACATAAAACTAAACACCGATCTTATCGGTTTACTAGCATACTGCTACTTTTCGATACCGCCGTCAAATGGTCCCCAAATATGCTAGAAGCCATGGCACGATGCTGTAAGCAGTGAAGAATGTCAATTTTCTTAACGGCGATGTACTTTATCACACGAATGGGGCAATGACTTCTGAAACGTTAGTCGGCGATAGTTTAACATTCGTTATTTCCGCTAATTTATACAGGAAACTCGTTTAACTGATTGATCGACATTGTAGCAGGTGATCGAGGATGCGAAATTCAAATCTTAATTTAAGTGCTATAATTACATACTGATGGAAAATAAGACATCTCAGACTAAAACAATACGGAGTTAGTTTCTGGTCAAAAAAGAAGAGTTAAAATCTTATATCCACAAAACAATTATGATTGCTGTAACGGAATAAGCAATTGTGTGAAAATGGCCACTTATGAGAAAACGATAGAAAGGTAATCTGATGCCATGCTTAGAGATGAAAACAGTCGAAGGTATTTGTTCAGCAGCCACAGCTACCGTGATGCGCAGGCAACGTCAGGGCTTATCGAAACTTTTACCCTAACGCAAGGTCCTTCAACTGTCAGCTTAGCTATACATCGACTGACGCTTAACACTTGACGTTTCAAATTACTGCATTCACCGGAATCAGTAATAACTTCTAAACACATCATACAACGGATCGATCGCTTCAACGGACGGCTGAAAGTCGCGACAATGGACATCGAAACACCTGAAGAGAGTGAAGGTAGTTCAGTTTGAAATGAAAAACAGGCTGTTAACGAAAACGGATAAAAAGCGAGACCATTAGCGGACTGAAAAAATATATTTAATAAGTGAAGCGTTCGGAACCCACAGCGGGGTTGCTTCTTCAGCACAAATTAATAATTTACACTGCGTCTTGTCATAGTGTCTATGAGGTCTCCGGTTCGATTCCGCTCGAAAGTATCTTTGACTTGTTAACGAATTTCTTTGAGCAATGAATTCACCACACACTGCTTCAGACCGGGATTGATCAGTCGACAGAGCATCGAACTCATAATCGATAGGTCGTGAGTTCAAGCCCCGGTCGCGGTTACTCGCATTTCTTCCTTTTAAGGTTGATAAATAAATGAGAAAAAAACAGCAGACTACATAATGCATTTGTCACGAAGCTGATGTCTGTTCTACGTTAAAAACAAGGCACTCCTGGTTAAGGACATGGAACTGGAGGTCAGCGCCCCCACCAACAAAGTTGCTAGAATTGGTGTAGGCGTAAGGAAGATCAAATGGTCACAAAACTTCCTTTTTCTTCCTTCCGTCCTCGATATCAATATGATATAGGTTGCTAACGGCATGCTTAACAACAATAGAATGTTTGTTATGTCCATGCATCGCATTAGACGACTTTTAAACAAAGTTTGCCGTACCTATGTAAATCTGTCGATGAGAGGCGAGTTTTTAAACATGTCACCTTTCGCAGGTATTCACACAAGATGTCGTGGAGGGTGAAGACTATTTCATAGATGACATAAATGGGTAAGATAAACATACATTTGAAGATAAAAATAGTGTTGCTATTACGCAGAGATTATAATTCAGGTAAAACAGACGAGTGGAGTGAATATTGTGATCATGAGTATTATTTTTAAATATGCTTGATTTTAGAGATTTTCTCCACTTCAGATTCATGTACCGGTGGACGTTTCCAATAACCTTCGACGCGCGTTGATGACAATGTTGGCTAAGTATTATCAGACAACTGCAGGCTTCGATGAACATATACATCGATTACAGTTGTGTTGTTTACGGAAAACAAAGACAGAATTTTTCATAAAGTCATTCTTTATGTTGATATTCAGAAAAGAAAAAGTATAATTTCTGTGATTTACTCCTTTTGGACTGAGGACTGCTCTCTTCTCATCGTCAGAGCTGCTTAAAAATTTACGGACTGCAGAAGAACACAGAAGAATCATAGCAATGTTGTCGGCTCAATGTGCCTGTAGTACAAAGTTTTACGCCAAGGCGGCTGAGATAACAAAAATCGCAGATTCAAAGCCATTCACAAAACCTTTCGTTACGCCACCAGCAGATTTTGATGCCATAGCGACGCTGCTAACATTGGCGACAGAAGATGTTGGAAAAGTGAAAGCAAATAATTGAAATGATTACCTTAAAAACGTTCAGCATTTGTGAAATAGGCAAATAATTCAGTAACTAACCCCGTTTCTATACATGTGTTCGGTATGTTCAAAAACTTTTGGGAATACCATAGAACCCTAGAGCCAATCGAAGCTATGTGGAAAAACTCTTAACACCGAATTTAACCATTCTGCAAAGGCTAACATGGTGAGGGTTGAAAGATTCAAGTTTGTATGCATGAAGTTTTCATCACTCAATGTCTAGTAAATGCACAGATTAAGTGAAGGATACAGAATGAGATCGATGTGCTTGCTGAGAT